TTTGCATGTTCTCCGAACGATTGGTCAACGTTAAAAAAATTTCAGTCTCCGGTTTCCCCCACAGTCCAAAGACATTTGGTACAGGTGAATTGGGTGGGCTAAATTGTCCATAGTGTGTGTGTGTGTGTGTGTGTGTGTGTGTGTGTGTGTACCTGCACAGCGATGTACAGTCCCGGCACGTTGAAGGACTCGAACATGATCTCTGCCGTGTACTCGCGGTTCTCTGGCGTGTTCAGAGGCGGCTCCGTCTGAGGGAGGAACAGGAAGTGATGCGTGACTTACTGGAGGACCAGCAGATGGCCAGAGCGCTCAGAGGAAGTGCACTTACCAACAGGAAGTAATGATCCTCAGGCTCCGCCCTCAGGTACTTGAAGATCACCTGCTCCATGAAGCGCTCCATCAGGTCCCAGTCCTCCACGATCCCATGCCGAATGGGCCACTGCATGCACACACACACACACACACAGAGAGAGAGAAAGACAAGCACATGAGCGCACACACAGGAACACACACACTGTTTAAACCTGTAGGAAACAGCAGTCTCTCCTGTGTGGATCATGCAGCTGTCACGCCTGCGTTTGAGTGAAGGTCTCGGCCGCTAGATCGCCCCCTGGGGGCTGGCTGCAGCACAAGTCATAAAGCCGCCTCCTCCTCTGGGTTAATGAGGGAGACCTGAGCCCAAATATACACATTCATCACACCTGCAGTGAACTGTCCTGACAGCTGGGGGTCAGCAGAGGCGCTGGTCAGCTGATAGAGCTGCAGATCTGCATTTCTGTAAACTCTGTGTTTTAGCAGTAATTGCTATAATAACGGGGCGTGTCATCATGATTGACAGTTGTGATTGACAGCAGGAGACTGAGGTGTTATTAGTCCACTTCTGTGTTGTTTTACCATCATTTATTGAGTTCAGCAGAACACTATACTCTCTGTCCTGCAGGATCTGGTGGAGCACTGGTTCTTCAGTAAAGTCAGGGCTTCATTATTGCTGATACACGCCTAACCATGACAGAAAAATACAGGTGATCATTATCTAGCAGGAACTCTGAAATAATAATTCTGAAGAGAAAACTAATGTCAGGCGATCTCCACACTGATCTGCTGTGGCGATAGTTGAGCGTGAGTTACAGGACGTCTCTGCATCTGAGTTTCAGCATGTTATTGTGTTCATCTGCTGAATTTGCTGGTATGAGATATTAATGTGCTAGAAGCAGATCTTGCTTGCTGATGGATCACTTCAGATCATTTAGGAAGGCACTTTCTATCCAAGACTAAACAGGGCATGAGCACTGCACAGGTTGTGCCGGTCAGCTGATGTATTAATACTGCTCAGGTTATTGTACACATTGATCAGGATTAGTGTGGATAGTGCAGGGATGGTGTGTGAATATCCTGTTGATATGTAGAAATCTTGCCGTATCTTCTGCTAATAAACGCAGGATTCTCCCGCATGCTGAATGGTGATCTATGGCGTGTAGGCTATATTTTAAGTTGTGTTGATTGCTAATTAAATTAAAACCCTTCTGAAATGTGTGTGCTGTTTATATGTTATTGTTCATATTTTACAAGTGTTAGTTCTACTCCTGTGAAGATAACAAACACCAACAGCCCTGTTATCAGACAAATATATTAAGAGCTCATAACCCAGGCTGGAGTGTATGAGAGATGTGCAGTCCAGCGTATAATCCTGTATTATTGTGTGTTTTAAATGGAAGTGCTGATATTTGTATTAATATTTCTCTCATGACAGGGTTGTTGGTATGAAGTTTGTTATAGTGCAGATACGGGCGGGGCAGATGAGGGGGCGTGGCTGATTTGATGTCAAGCGTTTGGTTGGCTCTGGCTCTGTCAGGCAGTCCCTCTGCGCTTGCCCAGGCTCCAGTCAGTGGTTCATATTCAATTCAATCAGTTCAGCTTTATTTCTCTAGCGCTTTACACTGTAGACTGTGTCAAAGCAGCTTCACATAGAAGATCATAGTGGACTAAAGCAGTGTCAGTCCAGAGCTGAAGTTCAGTCCAGTTCAGTCCAGTTCAGTGTGCTTTAATCTTCACTACTGAGAGTCCAAACACTGAAGAGCAGATCCGTCACTGAGACTCTGCTGCCGTCACATCATGAAGAGCCTCGCTTACTCTTACAGGGTAAAAACAACAGCTTCCACTGCTCTTATCACACACACTTGTGCTGCAGCTAGTGTGTGTGTGTGTGTGTGTTTCCCATGATGCCTCACCTTGGTGGCGTAGGTGGGTTTATCGATGGCCTCATCTCCGATGTAGAAGTCCAGATCGTCCACACCCTTCATCATCCTGCGCTGAGCCTGATCGCCAACCTTAGCGGACTCCTTGATGGCGATACCTGACACACACACACACACACACACACACACACAGAGAGAGAGGAAGTGAGTGAGCGCAGTGCAGGCGTGAGTGTGTGCCGCAGGGGAAGTAGTGTGTGTTATTTTAGACATATTTTAGTGTATTGTACACTACAGACGCACACTGCGCCCTACAGAAGTGCACTACTCACATGATGGGATGATGAACTGTGGTTCTGTGTTTCCTGCATATCCCAGTTTAGTGTACCTGAAACACACACACACACATTATTAATTAATCATATTCATTAATGTTCATAAACTCTGTGTGTGTTTGTTCATCATCGCTCGGTGCGCGCCCCACACACACACACACACACACACACGCTCATTACAGCACTCTTCTATAGCTCAGCTCATCAGTATTCCTCCAGCTCTTCTCCAGTGTGGAGTGTGTGTCGGCAGCTGAACACAGGAGCTCCAGCGCAGTCAAACTGTCGGTCCAGTGCTCCACTGTGCTGATGATGAGCACTGCACTCAGCTCAGCTACATTAGCTTATCACAATAATCACAACACACCCCTGACATTCACAGAGGGAACTTACACACACACACACACACACACACACACACACACACACACACACACACACACACGGGAATGTTGAGCAGTTGTCGTGTCTCTGCA